GCCTGAGCTCACAGGTTCGAGACCATCCTGGACAACTTGGCGAGACCTCATCCCTACAATAGGAAAAAAACAAAAAAATCAGCCCAGCATGGTAGTGTGTGCTTATAGTTCCAGCTACTTGGAAGGCTGAGGCAGAAGAATCACCTGAACCCAGCAGGTCAAGGCTGCGATGGCCGTGAGCATGCCAGCACTCCAGCCTGGGTGAGGGAATGAGACTCCAACTCAAAAAAAAAAAAAAAAAAAAAGAAAAACAAACAAAAAAACCTCGAAGGAAACACACACAAAAAACACCCACTACATGAGTCATTTATTTTGGTGAGAATGAATAAAATAAATTTTTTTTGCTATATAAATCTCTAAGAAAGGATTTGAGTTTAATTAAAGATGGTTTGAATCTAGGTGTTAGTTTTGGGACAGGCATGTACCTTGTGCAGCATATGTTTGGAACCTTCAAAGTCTAGTCTTTCTAATAATCAAATTATGTGAAAATGACAGAGGGCCCTTGTGCTTTATAAAACATTTTTAATGATTTGGCTTGTTTTCATTATGAAACAATATTTTATTTTTGGTTGACTTAAAAAAATTCAAGTATTTTTATGTCAAACAAAATACTTTACATTTTAATTTTACTCTTTAAAATGACCATACTTTGGCTTCTTTATCATCTTTGCTGTATTCTATGTATATATTGTAAAAATTTGTCCTGTATTTTTTTTTCACCCAAGTAAGCAGTTTAAGAATCTATTTGTAGGCCAGGTGTGGTGACTCATGCCTATAATCCCAGCACTTTGGGAGGCCAAGGCGAGAGGATTTCCTGAGCCCACGGGTTCAAGACCAGCCTGGGCAACTTGGCGAGACCTCATCTCTACAATAAATCAAAAATTAACCAGGCATAGTGGTGTGTGCCTGTAGTTCCAGCTACTTGGAAGGCTGAGGCAGAAGGATCTCCTGAGTCCAGCAGGTTGAAGCTGTGGTGGCCGTGAGCATGCCACTGCACTCTAACTTGGGTGACAAAGTGAGACTCCAACTCCAAAAAAAAACCAAACAAAAAACTATTCATATGAAGGAGTTGGCAACACTGTCTTGTGCAGAATAGAGTCCACAAAGAGCTGATGATTGATTATTTGATTGATTATACTTGCTGGAAGTTTCTTCCTGAGGTTCCTAAAATGGGGTCCATAGAGTCTGATGTAGCTTGTTTCCCAGTGTTTAGAAAAGATGGCGGATCCCCACCTATCACCATACCGAAAAATCAACTCAAAATGGATCAAAGACCTAAATGTAAAACCTCAGACTGTAAGAATCCTAGAAGAAAATATAGGAAACACTCTTATGGAAATTGGAATAGGCAACCAATTCCTGACCAACTCCCCAAAAGCGAAATCCATAAAAGACAAGACAGACAAGTGGGACCTCATCTAACTGAAAAGCTTCTGCAAAGCAAAATAAACCATCAAGATAGTGGGGAGACAGCCCATGGAATGGGAAACAATATTTGCCAACTATAAATCTGGCAAAATCCTGACATCCAGGATCTACAAGGAACTCAAATGTGCCAAAAGGAGAAACAAACAACCCTATTAAAAAATGGGCAAAAGATATGAATAGACACTTCTCAGAAGAAGACATTCGAGCAGCCAACAGATACATGAAAATATGCTCAGCCTCACTAATCACCAAAGAAATGCAAATTAAAACCACACTGAGGCCGGGTGCAGTGGCTCAAAGCCTGCAATCCCAGCACTTTGTTGGCTGAGGTGAGAGGATTGCCCGAGCCCACGGGTTTGAGAACAGCCTGGGCAGCTTGACAAGACCTCATCTCTACAATAAATCAAAAAAATTAGCCAGGGGAGGTAGCACTTGCCTGTAGTTTGGCATCTTGGAAGGCTGAGGAGGAAGGATCGCCTGAACCCAGCAGGTAGACGCTGGAGTGGCAGTGAGCATGCCACTGCACTCCAGCCTGGGCGACAGAGTAAGACTCCAACTAAAAAAAAAACCAAAACAACAACAACAACAACAAAACAAAACACTGAGATACTACCTAATGTCAGTCAGGAGTCAATAACTCAAAAAACAACAGATGCTGGAGAGGATGTGAGGGGAACACTTCTAAACTGTTGGTGGGAATGTAAACTCGTATAACCTCTGTGGAAACAGTGTGGTGATTTCTCAAAAATCTGAAAATCCACCTTCTATATGACCCAGGAACCCCCCTTCTGCGAATATACCCGGAGTAACTCAAGTCACTCTATAATAAAGGTATCTGCACATACATGGTTATTGCAGCATTATTCACAATGGCAAAAACATGGAACCAACTGTGCTGCCCATTGAAAATGGATTGGATAAAGAAAACGTGGTACATTTACATGATGGAATATTATGCAGCCATAAAGAAAAACAAAATTATAAACTCTGCAGCAACCTGGATGGAATTAGAGTCTCTAATACTCAGTGATTTATCAAAGAAACAAAGATCTGAGTACCACATGTACTCATTCAAAAGTGGACCCTGAACATTTATCATAATACTGTAAGAAAGGGTTTGGCAGTAGTGGGACACTGCCAGTGGGGGGTGGGGCACATAACATCAGTAAGGGTACCCACACCTTACATGTATGATGACCACGTGTGTACCTAACCCTGAATTGTACCCTGCATTTATAGAAATAAAAATAAAAACAGGCGTGCTGGCTCAAGTCTGTAATCCCAGCAGTTTGGAAGGCCAAAGCTAGAGGATTGTCTGAGCTCGGGGGTTCAAGACTAGCCTGCGCAACTTGGTGAGACCTTGTCTTTACAATGAATTAAAAAATAAGCTGGATATGGTAGCACGTGCCTGTAGTTCCAGCTACTTGGAAGGCTGAGACCGAAGGATCACCTAGCCCGCAGGTCAAGACTGCGGTGGCCATGAGTGTGCCACTGCACTGCAGCCTGGGCAACAAAGTGTGACTCTGACTCAAAAAAAAATAATAATAATTAAAAAAAAGAAAAGAAAAGATGGCACCACATATTTTCGGGAGTGAGTTTGTTGACTGAAGAGAGAAAAACGTTGCAATTATTTATGAGGAAGAAGTTCTAAACTTCAAGAACGGCCACACAGATAAGAAAGAATAATTGGTAGATACAGTCATTATATAAAACACAGGCAGAGAAAGGGCACTCAACCATTTTCTCTTCAGTGTGGCTAGCACTGCACTGTTAGAAAGGAGTCAAGTGTGAATAGGAAAGGAGAAATCTGTGGGAGCAAAGGATCATTTTATTTTTAATTTTTTTTAGAGATGAGATCTCACTTTTTTGCCTAGACTGGTCTCAGACTCCGGGGCTTAAGCATTCCTTCTACCTTGACCTCCCAAAGTGCTGAAATTACAGGTGTGAGCCATCATGCCCAGCCTCCCAAAGGGTTATTTGAACCATGTTACTGTTTCATCCATTAGCTTTTTCTAGCCTTTCCTTCTGCCCTTCCCTTCTGACAGTGTCCATGTGGGTGTTTCAATTTCCTATAATATTTCTAAAGCTACTTTTAGTTCAGTGTGACTCATACTCTTATTTTCATAACTTTGAATGAGATGCATTTTAGCATAGATATGCCTGGTATTTGAATTTCATAGTAAATTATCTTTTTTTCTTCTTTCTCTTTTCTCAATCAGATCTCCTCTATTACTGATTCTTGTTTACTTTTTGACCATTAAAGATTTGCAAAAAATAAAAGTATTTTGAAGACCACAAATAAAAGATGAGAGCATCTCTATTCCAATTAGATTGTGTTAGAGGACAAAATTACGACAAATCTAGTTTTGTAGATCTTAACTGACTTTTATTTGTGATTCTAGAATCTGGCAGCAGTCCAGATTTAAAAAAAACCAAAAACGAATTCAGAATGTTCCGCCCACCACATGTGCAGGTTATATTTATAGTCAGAGGAAAGGAAGTGACATACAGAAAAAGGAGGTGAGATACAAAGACAGCTAGATTGATATAACTTGATGTTTGCCTGTGATTGGCTGAAGCTCGGATGCTTGACTGGCTGAGTGAGACTCAGCTATTGTTATAAAGACAAATTTCCAAGTTAGATTTTTAGTTTGTTTATGTGTTAAGTTAGGTTGCAGTTCATACATAGAACTCCTATGGAGACTTCTAAAGCCCAACTTTAGTTTAACAATTGATTATATAATGATTTAACCATTAATGATATTAAAATTAAAATTTCTTTCTTCTTCTTTTTTTTTTTTAAGAGTCTCACTCTGTTGTCCAGGCTGGAGTGCAGTGACACAATTACTGCTCAGTGCGGTCTCCAAATTCTGGTCTCAAGCAGTCCTCTCTCCTCAGCCTCCCAAGTAGCTAGGACTACAGGCATGCTTTGCCATGCCGGGCTAATTTTTTTATTTTTTATTTTGTAGAGATGAAGTCTTGCTCTGTTGCCTAGGCTGGTCTTGAAATCCTGGGCTCAAGTGATTCTTTGCCTTGGCCTCCCCAAATACCAAAATTACAGGCATGAACTACCATGCCTGGTGATATTAAAATTTTTAGATTTTAAGTAGTCACTCTATTGATCCTTTTTTTTCCCCAAGTTTGGGTCTCACTCTGTCACTTAGGTTGGAGTGCAGTGGCACAATCATGGCTCACTGCAACCTTGACCTCCTGGATTCAAGTGAAACTTCTACTTCAGTCTCCCAAGTAGTTGGGACTACAGGCCCACACCTGGCTAAATTTTTGATTTTTTTGTACAGATGAGGTCTCCCATGTGTTGCCCAGGCTAGTCTTGAACTCCTGGGCTCAAGTGATCCTTCTTTCTTGGCTGCCCAACGTGCTGGCATACTGTGCTCAGCCTCACCGATCCCTTAAAATGAAAAGGTGTGATGTTCTTGTTTTTGTTGTTAGAATACTTTTAACAATTATTTGTATTGTATCATATAGCAGAGAAAGGATTTAACTTATGTAAATGTAAGCAGAAATTTTTTTCAAAAATAGCCTAACGATTATCTTTCTCTACTCTTGACCAGATTAGGAAGAAACAGCAAGAAGTGGTGGGCTTTTTAGAAGCTAATAAAATTGACTTTAAGGAATTAGATATTGCTGGAGATGAAGACAATAGGAAATGGATGAGAGAGAATGTTCCTGGAGAGAAAAAACCTCAAAATGGGATTCCTTTGCCTCCCCAGATCTTCAACGAAGAGCAGTATTGTGGGGTGAGTGTTTGGTTTCACTGGGAACCCTTCTATGTACATGTTTATCTGAAATTGTATAAAGAAGATTAATTTTGAGATAGTATTTGAAATTGTTTACAACTGTCAGGTCATGATCTATTCCTACCAATTAATACCTAGATGGTAGACCCATCATGAATAATCAATATTTAAGATTTAGAAAATGATGGGAAGAATAACATGATAATTCAGAAGTTTTGGGGATAATTTTGGGTTCCTTATTTTATTTTTGAAGAATTGAGGTCATGTGTTCAAACAAAATACATATTTCATGAGAAAGGAATTCTATTCAACCTTGCAGTGTGCACACACATGCCCCACAAAGCCACATGGTAAGTTTTCACTTTTTTTTTTTTTTTTTTTGAGTTGGAGTCTCCCTCTGTCACCCAGACTGGAGTGCAGTGGCTGCTCCCGGCCACCTCAGCCTCGACCTTCTGGGCTCTAGCGATCCTTCTGCCTCAGCCTTCCAAGGAGCTGGAACTACAGGTGCGCGCTACCACGCCCGGCTGATTTTTTGATTTATTGTAGAGATGAGATCTCGCCAAGTTGCCCAGGCAGGTCTCGAACCCGCGGGCTCAGGCAATCCACTTTCCTCAGCCTCCCAAAGAAGCGGGATTACAGGCTGAGCCACTGAGCCTGGCTAGTTTTCACTTTTATAAAGATTGGTTTGAGCTAGGTGTGGTGGTTCACAACTGTAATTCTAGCATTTTGGGAGGCAAAGGTAGGAGGATTGCTTGAGGTCAGGAGTTTGATACCAGCCTGGCAACATAGCAAGATCTTCACACACAAAAAAGAAAAACATTAGCCAGGTGGTACGCATCTGTGGTCCTAGTTCTTGGGAAGCTCAGGTAGGAGGATCACTTGAGGCTAGGAGTTTGAGGCTGCAGTGAGCTATGATCATGCCACTGCACTCTAGCCTGGGTAACAGAGGAAGATTGTCTCTAAAATTAAAAAAAAAAAAGATTGATTTGCAGAAGTCAAGTCTTACCATAGATGCAAGATAAATTTGTGTAAATGTATCTAATTTAAAAACTATTCTGGATCTTTTGATTATAACGGCAATTTTATTTCATATATTAATAGCTCTTTTCACCATAAGATCACTTTTTCAGAGTTTTCAGATTGTATTTAATAAATCAAATTGTTGAAAAGAATCATTTTTTTAAAAAGGTCTTTAGAACATGAGAACTGGAAATTGATTTATGGATCATCTAAGCCATCTAGGTTATTTCTCAGATTTGGAATGGGGGTTCTGGGAAATACAGGGAGTTGTCAGTGCTGTGGTGCTTCTGGCTGCTCAAACCAAGTGGAGGAATCTCAGCTAAGCTCTTTCCTTCTTGCTACTCAGAACTGCTAGTTCTTTGGTTTAGATTTTCTTTATTGTTATGTTTTTTTAATCTGAAGCAGCTGTCATCAAAACTGTAATCTGGAGGACAAATCTCGCCACTTTTTTTTTCTAATTTTATTTTATTTTAGAGTCACCACTGTTTTAATAAATAAAGTTTTACTGGAACACATCTACACCAATTCATGTACTGTACTGCCTGTGGTTGGTTTCGCACCATGGCTGACTGGAGTAGTTGCAGCAGATTGTAGGCCCCACAAAGCCAAAAATATTTATGATCTGCTCTTTTGCAGAAAAGTTTGCAGTTTGAAGCATGAATTATTTAGTTGTTGGAGGCTTGTATTAGTTTCTTAGGGCTGTTGTAACGAAGTACCACACACTCGGTGGCTTAAAACAACAGAGATGTATTCTCTCACATCTCTGGAGCCTGGAAGCTTGAAATCTAGATGTTGGTGCAAGGCTGGTTGGCCCTGAGGAAGGATCTGTTCCATGCCTTTCTCCTAGCTTCTAAAGTTTGCCGGCCATCTTTGGCACTCCTTGGCTTGAAGAAGACGCATCGCCCCAGTCTCTGGCCCCAGATTCACATGGTGTTCTCTCCCTGTGTGTCTCTCTGTCTGCACTTGGCCTTCCTACAAGGACAACACTCATTGAAGTACGGCTCACCCTAATCCAATATGGCCCCATCTTAACGATTGCATCTGCAAATATCCTATTTCCAAATAAGGTCACTTTCTTATTTATTTTATTTTAGAGTCCTAGAGTACAAGTGGGGATTTGCTGCGTGAGTAGGTTGCACGCAGGTGAAGTTTGGACTTCTAGCTGACCCTTTCTCCCCCTGATAGTGGACCAGGTACCCAGTGAGTTGCTGTGTGCCTTCCCGCCCTTCTCCCCTAGTAGTGACCAGTGTCTGCTGATCCCACCCAGTAAGGTCACTTTCTGAGGCTCCAGATGGACACGGATTTGTGGGGGGGATACTGGCTGTACAAATTTTCATGGCTGTGTTAACATTCTTCAGAGATTTCGCTAAAAGTCCTGTGAATCAGTGGGAGTATTTTCAAACAATCTTAATGTGGTAACACATATTTAGAGGAACATATGGTCCAATTCAACTCTTCTGTGGATTTAACCTCAGACTTCCCAGAGTATAGACAGGACTTCCTCTGCGAGGAAAAGCCCTTCCTCCTACTGCTCCAGCTCCTGCCTTCCCTACACCCTCCCCTCCTTCCTCTACCTCTCCTGTTTCTAAGAATTGCTGCTCTTGTTGAATGAGAAAAGGGATAATGGGTTTTTTTTGGGGGGGGGTGTGACGGAGGGGAGTGGTGGTGTCACATTTTGCTTTTATTTTTTATACATTGTTTCTTTTAATAGTTGAATAATGAATACATGCACTCTCTGAAAAAAATGATTCAAAATGTTCTCAGTGAAAATTGTTCCTCACCCATTTCTACCCGCTGTCCCTTTAGCTACCTTTCCCTGAGCCAGGTTGGGACACCACATAGGACCCCATGCACAGGAGGGGTCTGTTCTTTGTTCAAAATTCTTCTGCTGCTGCCTTGACATTGTTAACAATTTTTGAACGAAGGGCCCCATATTTTCATTTTGCAATGGCTCTTGCAAATCTGTAGATAGTCCTACGCTCAGTCAATGCTGGCAATTTCTTGTTTGGCTTTCTAGAAACATTCTATGTAGATTTACAACGAAATATCACTTAAAAATTGGGAAAGTGTTATATATACACTTTGTTTTTTTTTTCACTTAATAACCACATCTCAGAGATCATAGCATAGCACTTAACTTTTATTTTAATGGCTGTAAATGTTCCATTGTATGTAACATAATTTTTTGGCTTAGTCCTTTAATGAAGACATTCAAGTTGTTTTCAGACTCTGACCATTACAAGCAATGAGGCAGGAATTGTCTTTGTACATACATATCTTTGTATCCAATATTAGTGTATGTATGTGTAGGATAAATATCTAGAATATATATGGTGTTAAAGTACATATGCATCTCATTATTTTTTTCAATTTTTAAACTGTAGAAACAAGGTCTCACTATGGTGCCCAGGCTAGTCTTGAACTCCTGGCCTCAAGCAATCCTCCTGCCTTGACCTCCCAAAATGCTGGGATTACAGGTGTGAGCCACCATGCCTGGCTACATCTCACATTTTGATAGATATCAGCAAATGGCCCTCTGTTGCAGTTGTACCAACTTATACTTCTATCAGTCAAGTTTGAGAGTGGCTAGTTCCCTGTGACTTGGACAACACTGTGCCTAGCATATTTTTGTATCTTTGCCCATGTATTAGATGAAACATGAATTCTCATTTCTTTGATTTAGATTTCTTTCTCTGAGTAAAGCCGAACATGTTTTCAAACTATGCTTATAAGTTTTCTGTCTTATTTCTATGACTTGTCAGCACTTATTATTTGCCATTTTTCTATTGAGTTAATGGTGTTGTTTACTGGTTTGTGAGTCTTTACATATGAAGGAAAGTATCTGTTTGACTACATAGATGTTGCAAATATTTTCCCATATTTCTTATGTGTCTGTTGACTTTTAAAAGGAATTTTTTTTAACAATGCAAAACTTTACAAGTTTTTGTATAGACATATTTATTAATTGTTTCTCTTTATGTTTCCTGCATTCTGAATCTTGTTTAGAAAAGTTTTTTGCACTTGAAGATTGTCAAAGGGATAATCTCATGTTTTCTTCTAGTACTTTTCCAGGACAAGTAGAATTTTTATTTTATTCTATTTTTTATCAAAATTTTTTTTAGAGACAAGATCTCACTCTATCTCCTAGGCTAAAGTGCAGTGGCATGATCATAACTCACTACAGCCTTTTTCTCCTGGGTTCAAGTGATTCTCCTGCCTCAGTCCCCCTAGTGACTGGGACTATTGGCACATGCCACCATGCCTGGCTATGTTTTGTATTTTTTTGCAGAGATAAGAAAGGTCTCACTATGTTGCCCACGCTGGTCTCGGACTCCTGGGCTCAAGTGATCCTTCTACTTTTGCCTCCCAAAGTGCTCTGGGATTACAGGTGTGAGTCACCATGCCTGCCCAAAAATATAATTTTAAATATCTTATATTTGCTTATTTTAATCATTCTTTTAAATTTAGGCAAGTTTCTGTAGAAACAATTGAAGTATATATATTTCTACCTATGTTAAATCCTAGGATAAAAGTACTGCAGTTATTTTCTGCTGTACAAATAAAATCTCAGAGACATCGCAACTCATTTTACTCTGACCTATCCTTTTTTTTCTTTATAATTTTTATAATTGTGGAGGAGAAAGAAAAGTTTTCCCGAATAATAGATCTTATTTTAAAGATATATTTTTCTATTATAGATATGGATCTAATGAAATGATTATACAAATTATTTTATGTTTAACCATTTTTAATTATTTTCAGTTTTGTCTTCAGAGAGGTATTAGTTTATCTTATGAGAAGTTTTGCTTAATTTGCTTTTCTGCAATGTATAGATGCACTTAACAAAAGTGCATTCATGAAACAGGGCTTTGTTTCCAGAAAGTAGATGAAAATGATTATTTGCATTGTAGGTTCAAATTTTAAAAAGACTCAAAAGTTCCAAAGGATATGTCAGGTTTAAAATGGCATAAATCGCCTGG